CTTGTACGTTGCACTAACATGTGAGCCAAAAGCTGAAGATGAAGATGAATCGTATTGCTTTCATTTTCTAAAAAACTGCATTTTTGGAAAGAAAGATAGTGGCAAAAGGAAGATTGTTAACCAAGAACCAATGTTTCATGCCCCGTCTGCAGTTAAAAACAATGGATAAGGGAAAAGAATATTCTATGGAGGTTATGAGCGAAGCCTATGCCATTAATTCACTGCACACTGAATGCAAAATTAACGCCAGTAAGAAATTGTTGTCATTTCTAGATGCTACCGCGTTCATCTGTAAGATAACTAGATTATGTAAAAGTTCAAAATAAATATGTTATAGATGTATAGCCAGCTGACACAAACTGCAAAAACAAGGAATCAAGAATACCATTCACTAGTTTACGGCCATAAATATACCCCAGCATTCCAATGAAACCATAAATCCAATCCTGCTTTACCTCCCAAACTAAGAAAAAACAAGTGCAGTTCCTTAAAAGGAGGAGAGGGATGTGGCATTGTAATATTGACCCATGGCTTTCATCATTGAATAGGCAGTTCATTGTTTCACATTGTAAAGGGGGGTTTTGTATTTATCAGATAAACTGAATAATTGTCACTGTTATGGATATTTTATTTTAATTGTCACTGTTATGGATGTTTTATTTTAAATATTTTAATTCTATGGGAAGGGATCACAAATGTTTTCACAAAAATGGAAAGACCATTGTCACACAAAGAAAGCCTAAATGACGCAAGACCAACTGCCCTGATGGTCCAAGCACACATCTGGTTGGTTACCAATAAAATTGTAAACAAGTGAGAAAATAAATTAAAATTTCAGAATCTTGACACCGCACTCGAATGGGCCTGAAATAACTATTGGAATCAATAATCCAAAACAACAGAAAGCAGAACACTCGCAATTTTCTTTTCTTTTCGTTTCTTTTTTTTTTTTTTTCTCGGTAACCAAGCATTGTGTAAAACTAGCAATCCGAACAATTAAAGAGATTAGAAAAAGGTCAATTACCGCTAGTGGAGACCAGAGTGAGAAGAAGATAAAGAAGAAGAATCAGATGTCGCATCTTCTCTGTTTAGAATCAAATTCACACACACCGTGGTCAGAATCCAAAACCACAAATCTGGACCGCCTCGCCGGAGTGTTGACGGAAATTCATAGGGTTCCGCTGGGGTGCTTGCCGTCGGCGGAGTTCATTATCTTATTTATCTCCTTCTGAATTCGAAAGAGAAGAAGAGTGCATGACTTTGAATGCGCAAAGAGTGGTTGGTAAACCCTGGATTACAGATAACAATGCAGGTCTGTTTATTTATGTATCCATGGAATGTAGTGGATATAACTTAAAGGAGGTTTGGATGTTCTGTTGCAGAGAGATGTTTTAGAGAGAGAGGATGAGGTGTAAGAACAAAACATAGATCTTAGAGTTCAACAAAACAATACTTTCGCGGCAAGAGAAAGAGGGAGAGCTGGGTGGGTGGATTTTATTGCCGGGGGTTGAACACACTTCTGCTTTGGGCACTTGAATACTGGATGGTTGTCTGGACCGCGCTCCTCTTTCACCCGCGTCAACCACGTGCAAGTAGTATGGAAGAAGTGTACCACGGTATCAAGTGTGAAATATAAATCAATGTATGAAAATATTTCAAAAAAATATGAAATATATCATTTTTGTATACCATCAAAATATAATGATTTATTAAAATTGTCTTTTTCTTATTATAAAAATTAAATAAATAATTTTTGTAGAATGCACTTGTTAGTGGAATACCTATATTGCCATTAATTTATACCTTATCAAAAATAATTTTGTTATTAAAATTGTCTTTTTCTTATCAAAAATAAAATAGACAAAAGAGGGGCATAGTTAAAAGGTTCACGTGATTTTATCAATAAAATAACAAATTTCTTTTTTTTGGTTAAAAATAAAATATATGAAAAGGTTAGGTAATTATAAGGAAAAAATAAGGAAAAACAAAAGTGAAATGCACTTGTTAGTGGAAAACCAATATTGCCATTAATTTGGCAAACCAATTTTATAGATTTTGTTTGGTTAAAGTACTACTTACTAGTGATTGAAAATGGTAATATAATAACTTGCACCCACTAAGAGAAAAACTATAGAGATTTAGTATACATATTATTATAATCACAATGCGTACTCATTTGCATATTCTTTTTTTTTCGAAAACTCATTTGCATATTCTTCTTCATTTTTTTTTTTTTTTTTTTTTTTTTATTTAGCAAAGCAATAGGGACAGAAAGTTAAGAAACAAAAGAACAGTCACGGAAAAGGGCGACCCTCACATGCGAGGGTAAAAAAGGCCCCAAATCAGTGACAGAAGAAGAAAGAACAAAGTTAAAAGCAAATCTACACAGTTCGTGCGCTGCTTGGTTACCGAATCTCGGGGTTTGCATATTCAACATGCAAAACTTTGGATTCTCACATGGACCGTCCATTAATTTATGGTTCAAGGTCTCTCTCAATGTGCACAAAAACCGTGACATTATTGAATCCACTTTGAAAAAGACCACTTATGTCATTTAAAGGACCATATATTATTGTTGGCGTTTGCACATGTCTTGACTATGTCTATGGGAGAGACCTCTCTCAGTCCTCCTAGGCTTCCGTGCGGGTTTGGTATTAAGATCTCAACCGACCAACTAATGATGCATCACTTTGATTTGGGCTGTTTTCAATGACATACTCTCTCTCTCTCTCTCTCTCTCTCTCTATATATATATATATATATACATTGAGTATATATATGGACCCGAATCCTCTTCCGTGAAATAGTAAGACTTATTCCGTCTAATTTGTCATACACACAATCATATATACATTTAGTGTAAGCGTGTGTATATGGACCCGAATTATTTTAAGTGGAGTAGGACCTATTCCGTCCAACTTGCTCTACACACACATATATTGAGTGTAAATGTGTGTATATGGACCTGAATCTTATTCAGTGGAATAGTAAGACTTGTTCCGTCTAATTTGAGATGCACTTTATAAAAAGATTGTGATGTTTAGTAAATATTAACTTTTTTGTAAAGTACATCACAAAACAGAATGTATTGTCCACCAGAGGAGATTTTCTTCCGTGTGTATACATATGTAAGCAGATGGATATTCATGCGGCAATGTAGCAGGTTGCAAAGGCAATTAAATAGTGTTTTACTGCATTAGCATTACTGGATAACAATGTGTCGAAATTAGAAATAATTTACTACATTACATTCAGATTGAAATCACGTGTTGTGTTGAAACTAGATTTAATCCTACAACATGATATGATATTGTGCACGTCACTCGAGGTGTAATTTTTGAGCAAAGTATATGCGCCTTTTTTCCCCTGATTTTTTAAAGTATCCCTCCTATTCCAAATCACAACTGTCATAGTTTTGTCTTCTGTTGCTGAAAAACTGTCTTCTAGGGAAACATTTGGGGAAAGGACATGCAAGCAATGGTTCTTTTAAGACATAATTTCAGTTTCACTTGTACAATTTGATTTAGTGCAAATCTCAACTTATTTTGGAGTCTGCTGCAAAAAAAATAAATAATATAATAGCAATAATAATAATAAATAAATAATAAAATCCTCTCTACCTCCATTAAGCCTCTCCTAACTCATTAGCTTTTGTTCGGCCATAAGCTACCAAAGAAAGAAAAAAACACAAAAGTTGTGCAACACAGTGATTGGAGTGTTTTGATTTGAAACCAAGAGTTCAGGGGTTTAATCCATTGGCCTCATTTATATGATTTTTTTGATAAAAAATCAAATAAAAAATAGACCGACTACTGTTTTTATGAAAATGATAAAAATCTATATTACCTTGACACAAGTACCTGATACTATGTAATGAGTCACAAACAAATCAAGTAGAACCTAATTCATATAATCTTTCTCAATGAGTATCGTTCTCACGTTCCGCACACGCTATCTCTCTCGTTTTCATTATTTGTAACTTAATTTTTCTTTATGTGACTTAGAGTAGAACTCTACTAAGAGAATATTTTCTCTTCCTCTTCTTCTTCTTCTTCTTTTTATTTATTTATTTTTTATTTATTTTTTTATTGCTCCTCTCATTCATCATTCATTTTTAACCAGTGTCACTTCAACTGGTTGGGTAGTAGTTAAGAGTTTGGAAAAAGACCTGATTTGGACCCAAAAAAAAAAAACATCAAATGGAACCCCAGAGAGTACATTTTCTCTTCCCTTTTATTTTAATTTTATTACTAAATTGCCCCCCTCATTCATCCAAAACCAGTGTCACTTCAACTGGTTGGCTACTAGTTAAGACTTGAGAGTTTGGAAAAAGATCTAATTTGGACAAAATAGGGTTTGGTAGGCTGTCTACGTTACCATCACTCCACTATTTCACTAGTAATAATTTTCCACCACTTGCTTAGTCACCATTACAAGGACAACATCTTTTGTGTGGAAAAAAAAAAGGGGTATATCATAAGCTTAGGGGAACAATCCATGACCCCACAATCCACTGACTCATGTCAACCCTTCTGATCATATCATGACCCCTCCATCTTTAGAAGAGTCCCTCACACCACTTTCCACAGATCCCACCATCATCATATCCCATCTCCAAAGTAAGGAACCTGAAAAACCACTCCCCTCGTCCTCTAACTCATGTTACACGGTCTCGGTTACGTGTATTAAGCATGGACTGATCCTGTCAAATTTGACATCTAATCATGATTCACAATTACAGTATAATTACAGTATCGATTGTGATATAAATTACACTAGTAGTATAATGAACTCGGACAAATATTAATATAAACTAACCAAACTAAACAATTCATAAAAATGTGTGATAATATCATATTATTAAAAAAAAGATTATGAATCGAATGGTATGTCGTGTATATTATGCACCAACTGAAGACAGTTAAATATTCATTTTATTCAATATTTTTTTATTTTATTTTTTAGAATAAAATAATGCTTTACTAACATGGAGATCAAAATTAACATTAAACTCATTCGAAGTAAAAATATAATAAAATAAAATTATTGAATATATTTTTTAGGTGCATGTTCAACTTGGAAAAAATAAGGGCACGAACCACCTCTCCGTCAAAGCAAAGATGCACCGACAATCAACCCGAGGGGGCCTTGGTCATGAAATCTCCAACCCCTGCCTTCACTAGAATACCATAATAGTAAAAACAAGCATCCTTGATCATCTTATAGGTCGTAGAAGTGCCGAACATATATTCCATACCATGTCCGAATAACGAGTCAGGGACACGAGTGCTTCACATACTGTGAAAGATTCCATGTGCTTCACATAGACTCCATGTGACATAGCCTCTCACCATATGGCCACTATCAAATGCATTTTTGAGACATATGTTGTATCTATATAATTACATAAAATCACAGTAGAATAAAAAAACAACCCAATACAAATTCATATCAGATTTTGATCAATCTACAAGGGTTTAGAGCTTACTGGTTTAGTTTATGGACCATAAGGGAGTAGTATATAATACAGAAGAATAATATTATGATGACAACAAGAAAAGTATTTGCTCAAACTTACAAGTGTGTGGAATTTAAATGAAAAAGATAAAGTAACAACATTGCCATCTGCAATAAAGGGCAATAGAAAAAAAGAAGCATCATTCCCAGAATTGGCATTCAAAAAAGTAAAAAAAGAGAGATCAAAATGGGAGAGAAAGCAAAAGCTGAAAGAGACCTTTAAAATAAAATGGATTGATAAAATTTAGTGAAGAAAAAGTGAAAAAGCAAAGTAAAAAATAAAAATAAAAATACCTTCATGTAGCTTGAGTTCTCTCAGTCCATGGCAAACTAACCATATGAGTATCTGAAGAACTTGGGAATTTACCCTTCTTTGGCCACAACCACACCTTGGAAACAGAAAAGCTTTCACCTTTACTTCTAATGTTGATTTTCTTCCCCTCAACATCCCCATCAATTGAGGAATTCCCATTGTGTCCTCCTCTGCCTTTCACAACCCTCACATTAGCACCACCAGCACCACCATTACCATTACCCCTATTAGGGCACAATGCCACTTGCAAGTTTGAATCCACCACATACTGGTATGACCCCATTGAGAAACACCTCCTTGCATCCAAACTACTACTACTAGTCTCTCCACCTCCTCTCTCCTCCCCTCCACCACCACCAACACCGCCACCGCCACCGCCACCGCCATCATTTGTGGTTCTGAATTTGCCAAGACTCACTGGGAAAACCCTCCTTTCACCAACAATCTCAATCTCAGCTGGCTTCTGACCACAAGGAACCCCAACCACTCCATTGCCCAAAACCCCATCTTCTACCCTCGAATCATCAAAAGCAAAAACAGGGTTTTCAATAGAAAACCCAGGCGTGAAAAGGGTGCCTCTGCAAAGTGGACAAGTCGAATTCGACAGCAACCATGTGTCTATACAATCGATGTGGAAAGCATGACTACACAAGGGAAGCAATCTCAGCTTGTCCTGTTCTGAGAATTCACACAGACACACAGCACAATCGAAAGGCTCCTTCAGGCCTATTACTTCTTTGTAGAGGAACACGGGGAGCGCATCTATATAAGCCTGATCTAGGCCGGAGTCGTGAAGATGAAATAATTGTTGCAACTGCCTCTCGAAAGCGTCGGAACCAGACATTTCTAGGTGCCTATTGGACTGAGAGATTGATGAGGAAGACGACCTTTGCTTTATCACAAATCTAACGAGCATGTGGACGAGACCACAGATGAAGAATATAACAGCTAATATAATTATGATGAAAAGAACTGCTGGGCTTATTTTACTCCCTGATGATGAAGATGGGGATGAGGATGAGGATGAGGATGAGGATGAGAGAGAAGAGGAGAGAAGAGGAGAGAGAGGAGGTTGGGTCAAAAGACCATCTTTTTGCTTGATTTGGGATTGAATCCAAGGCATTTTTAGCAAATGGGCATGCTAAAAACCCATAACTTCACCCAAATTCCAGGAAATCAACGGAGTGTGCCATGTATATATATATAGATATAGATAACCCAAAAACCTAATATCTTTTGCTTGCTTTAGATATCAAACCCAACTCATAATTCAAGCAAAAGGGTCATTTTTTTCTTGCATTCAGAAGAAATCCATTAAAGAAAAATCAATTCTCGACTCAGATTTGTGATGTATTATATTGCTTTAAAAGGAGATTTGGTGAAAAAAAATACTATATATATATATATATATATATTGGCCTTGCTTTGACATGAAAGCCAAGTTACCAAGAGTGTGGAAAACAAGGGAAGGAGACTTTGAAAATGTCAAGTTTTTGGCTTACCTACCTCAGTGTTTGAAAATCTGCTACCAATTGGAACCCATTTTTTCAGGGTTAGTTGCTGCAGAAACCCTATTCTCAGTTTTCTTTTGAAGGGTTTCAATTTTGCTTTTTATTGGAGGGAGAAAATTGGGTAGCAGATTGTGGGCAGTGGGCACCATATACCTGGTAGTAGCTTCCAAAAAGTTGAGGCTTGGCCCAAGGGAGCCGAAAAGCACAAAGGGCATTTTTGTATTTAGATAAAAGTATTTCCAAAAATTGCATTGGATGCGGGGTGGAGGGAGGATTGCAAAGGAGATTAAGTTAAGATGGAAAGTAATATTACATATGGATCAGGTTGGGAGGAAGAGTGGTATTGCTATGAATCGGACTGTGAACTGATGTGCAGTAGTACCTCACTTATAATCCAGGTTAACCCTTCTTTAGCTTGCCCTGATTTGCAAGACTTCTTGATCTTTTATTTTTTATTTTATTGCCAAGTAAGTTTGTAGACATGTGATGGTCTAAAAACACCCGTATTTAAATATGATGATATTATAGTGTAATTTTCTAGTGATGGTAAAGTTCTCTATCAAAAGGTCATCAAATTGAAAGAATTTTCTGTTTTATTCTTAGTTGTGTTTTTGTTTTTTATATATATATTTTAACTAATATAATAAAAAATTATTAGATAGTTCAGGATCATAATCCTGATCAAGAATAATAATCCTGATCAAGAATAAGTTGTCACATGATCAAAATAAATAAATAAAACTTACACATTTTGGTGTGTACGCCTGTGAATTATTTTTCTATGTAAGACAAGTATGCACAACGGGCTGGGGTCAGGCTAGGCCAGCAAATTGAAAACCCAGGCCCAATGAGGTTGGGCTTCGATTAGTGGATGGGTTTGGCCTATGACATAATTGAGAAACCCAAGCTATTGCACAGGACGTGCAAATAATGGGCCGTGAGCCCATTGATTTTTCTAAACAACATTTTGTTAATATAACTGTGGTATTATGCAATGATTTAGTAATTTAAGAAAGTTACAAGTGATGGTTAAAATTTGCATATGGCAAGTATTCTGCTTCTAAGACATAAAAGTATAGTAATTTTTTTTGTTCCTAAAACTTAATCTTAAAGAAAAAAAGAGGCTCACGCAAAGTAAATTTGCAATCGCTAACTGTGTCGTCGTTTTTGGCAACCCATTCCGTTATTCAATTAATCTGCCCCACTTTTCAGCGAATCCATTGGACTGCACAAGTAGCTAAAGTGGGCCCAAAGTATCTAAAAATAGCACCATTGAAAGTGTTCTTAAGATCCGACCCTTGAACCACTCAAAAAAATACCCCAAAACTTATTTGAATTTTGCAACACACACATCTCAAGTTCTTGCAGAATTTGTGGAGAGAGAATGCACCACGTCAGGGACTGGCAAGGTCACTGTAGTCTGTAGAATACTAGAATATGTGAGACAACTTTAGCACATGGTCATGGAACCTTTGAAATTGATGCCACTGGTTCCTCCCAGTCTGGAGAAGGCTTTGTGTTCCCAACAACATACCTAACTTTGACTCTTGATTACACCCCAACTCACCTCTTCCTATGCAAAATACTATTCCATATTACTGTTAGGATATGTGTGCCCTAGCATAGCAAATTCTAATTTTGGATTGTAGAAGTCATGGTTTCTTGTCTGGATATTATTATTAAAGCATTATACAATTGGTGAATGGAATGTATTATTTTTCGATTCTTTATGGAATTGATAGTGTCCGCTTGATTACAAAATATATTTATATATGTATGTAATGGCAATTAATACTATGATATAAATTAGTAATCATAAATGGTTTAAAGTCGGTAATTATGGATGGACATTTAATTAGTTAAGACTTAAACCGAGTCCACGATAGATTGAGATATATTGCGAGAGCTGTCGTATGCAATTGCTCTCTATCACAGTCATGGCTTTTGACTCTCAAGCATGAGAGAAGTATAGACTCTTTTATTAATTAATAATTACTTTGATTTGCTCGGCGGATACCTCGGGATCCTTAGATCGACACTTTGGGTAGTTATGTAATTAATAATTAGAGGTCTATATTCTCAATATTTGCATCAGTGCTATTTGTATTTATTTTGTTTTGATTATGGTTGATCACAAATTAAATTCGAAGGCCTTCGTATGTTTTAGACAAATGTTTTATATATATATTTATTTAATAAATTATTATTATTTTTTGTCAAATAAATATTTTATTGTGATCGAGCCGGAAATAATCAAAGGTAACAAAATAATTATATTAATTATGTTGTCGGATTGATGGCTTTAATTATCCGATAAATAATTAAGCATAGAGGGGTCAAAGTGCAACATTGACTTAGAGGTTATTTACTATTTAATTGGAGTGCAATTAATTTCTTTTAGTGGAGTAGAAATTAATTTATGAATTAATTGAATTGGGTCCATGGTTTAATGGACCGGACCAATTATTAATTTATAAGAGCCAAGAAAATAGTAAGCCCAAAAGGATTCTCACCAATAGCCCAAGTTGATATTGGAGTCATGTTAGGATTGAGAAAGTTGAATTAGAGATGGAGAATGATTTATTGTTTCCTTATTCTTATTTTATTTTGCCTATATATACATGAGTTCATGTATATTTTAGGTGTGACTTGGAGAACAAGAAAAAGGAATACACTTTCTCTCTCTAGATTTTAGGGTTTTGTTTCTCTTCTAAAGGAGGCTACCACCAGCCTAGATTCCAAGGTCATTCATCAAGGCATATTGGTGATTCCCAAAGGGAAGATAATAATCAAAAAGAAGGAGAAAGGATCTTGCTAAAGGGATCTACAATAAGTGAGAACATTCACTTTAGAGGAAAGTTCAAAAGGTTTACTCAGACCTTTGATGTGAGTATTCAATCTGTTTATTGAATTATGCATCATCTTTTATCTATCTTTGCATAAAACTTGTCTCCATGTAATGAATCAAGATCTATGATTGCAAATCCCTCAAAAAGTTTTAAAATTTGCACGTTTCCCAACAATTACACCATTATGTTAATGAAATTAGGGCTTGATTGTCAAATCCAATCTCCAAGTAACAAGTTCAAGCACATACACTTGTAATACTACTCTATTCTCTCTATAAATCACATAAAGACCTCCTAAATTTGAGTAGAATTCAGTGTCATTCTGGTCAGAGTGGAGATTCTATCAAAAGAAGTGGTATTCTTGCTTCCAAATTAAAAATCGGAAAAACCCATTTGCTCATATGCAGAGATTATTTGATTTAGAACATTGTCCGATCCAAGTATGGACATTGATTTTTCTCTTCTCTTCTCCCCTTTACCAATCTCGAAAGGGTTTGAAAGTTAAGATCCAAAGTCATCGGAACAAAAGTAAACCAGTAGTTTAGATGTTTATTTTACAAACACTAGTGTGGCTAGTGACGAACCCAAAGAATTATATGAGAGGAGACGACATTGAACAACAATAATATATAGCGAGGTATCATTAGCAATTGAGTGGAGGCATTTTTAAGATTTTCACAAAAAAAAGTAGAGACAATTTTAAGATTTTCATAAAATTTATAGGTAGTTTTGTAAATAAAAAAAAATTCTGAGTGCGGCAATAGATCTAAATTATTATTATTTGGATAGGTAAATAACATGCACACATTCTCACACATACAATATTATTCATGTTGGGGCTCGAACAACTCTCCTTAAGGGAGGAGAACTCCCGATGGTGCAACGGATATAAATTTTACCTAAATGAAAACTTTTTAAAAAAAATTTATTATCGAATTTTTGAGAAGTTAAGGACATGTTTGGTTTATAAATCTAAAAACAGTTCTAAAAAATTCAGAAAACATAAAACTATTTCTAGATAATTATAAAAGACATTTATTTGAAAATAAACTTTTTTACAACTAAATTTTTAGAAAATTACCAAGCAAGAGTTTTTTTTTTTTTTTTTTTTTTTTTGTATAATTTTCTATTTTCAGTTTTCTAAAAACGAAAAACTATTATAAAAGTTAAAAACGAAACAAACATGCCCTAAAATCTCCATGACAATGCTTCTGAATCTCAATCTCCGTCAATTAAGTAATACATGCTGTGTGTTTGTTATTTTGATAATTTGTTCATATATATAGCAAATCTAACACTAACTGCAGAGAGACATTGTCAATTTTGTAGATTGCACATGCATATATATATATATATATATATAGAGAGAGAGAGAGAGAGAGAGAGAGAGAGAGAGAGAGAGCCAGAGAGAGAGAGAGAGAGAGAGAGAGAGAGAGAGCGACCCCAGTCCCATGATACTAAATTAGCATATTAGCCAAAGCATATATATCTCACAGATGTAACATGTATTTGACTGCAAATGAAGATGGTAGGCCATGTCTTTCATGTTCCATGTTTCGACAGAAGTGTGATATTGTCCAAAACGTACAATGCTTGTTTAGTACAAACAGATATTGTGGCTCAAACACAACCTCAACCTCAGGACTTCTCTGGCATTATAGGGACTATTAATTTGTCATTTTTTTTTTGTGTGTGGTTGTTTGAAGATATAATGTTTGATTAGACTGCGAATTGACTCTTCTTACAGAAAAGAAAAGAAATGAAAACTATTGTCTTTGTTAGAAAAAGTCACTTTGATTAAAAGTAATTCATTGTCTCATTTTAAAGAGCATGATTTCTAGGAAAATCTGATTTAAAGAGTCACTTAAATAGTTGAAATTCAATGGAAGTGATCAGTGTGACCTCAAAAAACAGGTCCATTAGAGCCTTAAATTGAGGAAATTCCAAAAAGACTTTTGTAAGAAGTTAATTATTAAAAAAAAGAAAAGAAAAGAAAAAGAAGGTGGTAAATTTGACTAATATAAACAAGATTTTTTCAACTGATCCCACCCCCCATGTGTTCATATAACGGAACCTAAAATTTTTAAAAAAACCACTCAGAGGAATTCACATGGTTGTACGTGTTTATAGAGCTAACTCTTGTCCGGTGCCTGCAGAGTTAAGGAGGCTTCAATGTTTCCTCCTCTTATCTCCATCTCCGGCCAAGCTAACACGGACTTACTTATTCGAGGGAGAGTGGAGCCATTGTTGAGAGTAAGATCTTACCAAAGTTGATTCCATCCATTTAGAGTATGTTATGTGATAATATAATTGATTTTTGTAAGTGACCTAGGAGGCATCAAATTTCTTTTATTTATTTATTTATTCGGAAAATAGCTTTGGAATAGCTATGCATTTTTCTGAGACATGGTAATAGGAACTTAGGAAGGGAAAGACACTTCAAATGAGGGGACGAGAGCCCTCAGGGAAAGCAAATTGCTCCAAGTTGGATAAGAATCTAAGATGAAAATGATTTATGTCACAATTTAATTTCATGTCATTTTGACCACTAATTTGTAGTAGTAAGTAAATGTTTTGTCAATCCACTTAAAATATGAAATGGTATATATTATTTCATGTAATGTTTTAGTCACAGTGCCATCCAAAGCCTAAGCAGCAAGTTTTGTAGACTAGACTCTAAAAACTGTTCTTACTTAGTTTTCTACTGCTTAACCTATCTTGTACTTCTTATATATATATATATATATATATATATATATATATATATAAAATTCACCTTTACCAAAAAAAAAAAGAAAAAAAAAAAAAAAGAAGGTTTTTAGGGTACACTCATTCTCTCTTCTTCCTCCTTGATTCATCCAGCACTGGATCATGCAGTACAATGAAAATTTCCACACACACACACATACACACAAACAACAACTTGGAGAGAGAGAGAGCACATTTTCAACTCCCGTAGAAGTTTCTTTCAAAGCAGCATAATTTAAAATTGCAAGAATCAATTTGAATGCAATTTTAAAAGGAGAGCAAGAGTGTATGACAGATTGACATTAAGGAAAAAAGAGAAGTAGGTGGATTTTTTGCTTCTCCATCTTCTAAATATTATTCCTGCTGTTTTGACTTTTCAAGGAAGATTAGCACCCCAAATTCTCTGTTATATATTTACCATTAATGTTCCAGCTGTGCCCAATGCTAAATTTCATGTACATTTTTAAATTAAATGAAGTTATAATCTTTAATCTGATGATCAAGTCGATTCCATGATTATAAGTTCGTAACCCTAGCCAGCCCATCCTCATTTTGGGCGGAACAGCTAATTTCAAAAACACAATTAAAAAAGGGCTCATGTTCAACAGGTTGATTAAATTCATCACCACGAGACACTATAAGTAAAGTTATGGCGCGCGCGCGCACACACACATATATATAATTATAGTATTAACAATTCGAAGAACAATAGAACCATGAAAAGTCCTAGCCAGTCTCCCACGGCCATGTGCATTAATTCTTGTAATGCATTAACGATGGTCCACTCCTAAAAATGAAAAACAATTATCCAAACAGATACTATATACATATATATATATTTATAACCCTAATACTGTACACTTCCATTTTAGGAGTAATAAATACAATTATAATCATATATGGTTAGGGAAAATATATAATAGAGAAGAAAAAACAGAAAGTATGAAAGAAGTAACATCCTCCCTCAAAATTTGTTAGAAAGTTTTCAAGGATCTTAACAATGTAATACCATAATAAGAAAATAACCCAACACATAGCATTGAATAACTATATATATATATATATATAGTTATATATATAGTTATATATATATGTATATATGAAATCAATAATATTAATATCTCTTACAGTCTTGCAAAGAATTAAAAAGGACATACATTTTGACCAATACATTAACCAATTAACCATGAAATATAACTTCAACAATTATAAGATTCTAAATATATAAATATATATATATAGATATAGATATGTGGGATGGGATCACTATACTAGGACTAGGAGTACTTATGGCTTATAAATCTTGGAAAGAGCTTGCAACACATCAACTTGCAACTTCAAATGCAAGATGTAATCCGCCGTCCGGAGGAAAAGCCGGTCCGGCTTCAACCCCTGCCCTCCCGGAATCAGCTTCTGCAGCTTCTTGACCTTCATTCGGACCGACCTCCGCGACACCCTCCCAGACACCCTCCCATGTTGCCTGTGCATTTTCACCCTAGACACATTTTCGCAACCATTGCAGTCCATGGTCATATATATCTAGCTCTTGTAGTAGCACAAGTTAATTTAGATAAAATTTTATATATACCTATATATATAGAGAGCTATATATGCAAAGGGTTAATTAAGCTCTCTATATATAGATATATAGAGAGAGAGAATTAGAAGTTGAGGATTCTAGAGAGAGAGAGAGAGGTGGGAGTGTGAAGCATAGGCTGTGAAGAGGAAGATATAAATGAGTGAGGTTGGGGAGGTGGTGGTGAGGACGGGCCATGTGAGCCGAGCCGAAGAAGAGTTTGGAGTTGGGCTTTTGTTCACACGCCCCAATCGCTTTGTCGTTTTGTTGGGGGCCCAATCATGCTTTGGCTTTTAACGACCCACGCACGTGTCTGACAGCTCTCACACGATCACGCCAGCCACTACTTGTGTGTTTTAGTGGTGTTTTATGTATGTGTCCTCGTAATCCCCGAATCTTGACAGTTGCCCACTCACACGTTGCTCGTATATGCTTACATCATAGCCGTTGGATCTTCATTTTTGTTGATTAGATCACCCATTAACCCATACATGTGAGTGGATTTGTATGGTATCAGATCACCGTAATCGTTTACACATGTAATCGGTGTGATTATAACCGTTCATTGCGTACACTGCATACATTGATCTTCATTTTGATGACTAAATTAACTATGGCTGATGATCAGTCACATATATTGAATAGTTGTAATTACTTACATGTAATCGTTCCACTCATACGAGTGATCATAGCCATTAATTATCCTATAACATCATTATTATTAATAGGGTATATTATACATAACCCCCTGTACTAATTTTTTCGTTCAAAATGCTCCCACTAAAATTAAACACTCCTTGAATTAACAAAACCCATCAAGTTGTCCCGAAATGACAAAACTGCCCTTCTAAGTTAATTGTAAATTTAAAACTTATAATATTATTGTAAGATTACAAAAATACCCTTGAGTTGGTGGGTCTACTGTTCATCTCCATCTTCCTTTGATTTTAAACACCAGAAACCCATATTCATCTCCATCGTCCTTTGATTTAGATTTAGAGCATTCTGATTGTAATTGTTGTTTGATCTGTTTGTGTTGACTTGTTTGGTTGAAAAGAAAAATTGAACACGGGGGAAATTTGTGTGAAAAATATAGCATTGTGGGTAATTCGCATAAAATTAGAGAGATTCTACAAACACATATGTATACACTGGACTTGGTGTGTGAATTTACATTCTTGCATATGTATGGGTAGAATTTTCCTTCGACACACTTAAACTCATCCGCACCGAATTCTTGTCAATCGGACACTACTCCTCGATCTCATCGGCGATTAGAGCCATATCCAGCTCTCTCGCTGACCAAACATCCGTTGCCATTGTTGACGACGACGTACATCTGATCAACTATATCTTGCCATTCACTCTCAACTGCTGCGACGATCGCAGTGGCCATCACGACTCTCTCGGCCGGGGACCAGATGGCTTAACGACTCTCTCTCGGTCAATCTTTGCCGGACAGTGTCGGAAGAGACCACAAGGACATACAGAGACTCATCTTCGAGTCCACCGGTGCACATGAATTCCTAGTCGGCGACTTCGCAAGCGTCGAATTAGTGGCTCTCGAGGTCGATTCTTCAGCGAAGCGTTAGCGATGTTCGCGACAGCGTTCAGGGCGTTCAGGTTTCCAATGATTCGATGATCGCCGTGGGGCTCACATTGTTTCTTTCTTTTCTAGACCAATACGACATCGTCCTCTATCGACGAACCCATTTTAGAAACGCCGGCGATAAGAATTGCCGGAATTTCAACAGGAATTGGTGAGTTGGGGTGTCCTTAGGCGGTGAATATTTAGGCGAAGACAGAGTCCGATCAATTTGGGGTGTTTCTAGCTACTTACAAGAGGAACAAACAGAGGGAAAATGTTGCCGGAGTCGCACAAGGAGGTCGAAATCAAAAATTTTACTTGACTGGGTTGGTGATTGTGGCAACGCCGCTGTAGAAGGAAGTGTTCACAACAATAATTTGGTTCTTCCTGTTGCAACTCATCGAAGTCGGTGTCGACGGAGAGGACGATGGTTCCCCAATCGGCGCCGTAGAGTCGAAGTTCAGTATGATCAAAGTCTGGGACTTTGATCTGTAAGGGAAGATACATCTGCACAATTTTGAAATTTAACCCAAAAAATAGAAATTAGATTTATAAGTTTTAAATTTACAATTAACTTAGAAGGGCAGTTTTGTCATTTCGGAGCAACTTGATGGGTTTTGTTAGTTCAGGGGGGTGTTTAATTTTAGTGGGGACATTTTGAACGAAAAAATTAGTTCAGGGGGGTTGTTTGATTTTTTCCCTTATTAATACAACATCATTAGTAGTACAGTAGAAAATACAAACATGATAAAGGTTTTCGTGGTCTAACAACAAATTTGTGAAATTTTGTGACCATTAGATCTACAAGCTTAATGTGAAGTGCACAATTAATAATATTTCAACGAGTAAGTATTGAGTACTCTTGTTTCATTCTTCTACATGGCTGATGATCAATCAAGTGAGTGGATTCGATATAGTGACAATACGGTACTTATAACATTGAACAGTTATAATCACTCCCACGTAATCGTTCCACTCGTATGAGTAATCATAGTCATCAATTACCGTACAACATCGTTACTAGTACTGCAGAAAATACAAACTTGATAAGGGTTTCATTGCCTAACAATAAATTTGTGATCATTAGATCTACGAGCTCAATGAGAAGTGTACAATTAATAATATTTCAGCGACTAAGTTTTGACTACTCTCAAAATACTGAGAATATAAGGATTTGCTTGATTTGTAATTCTGAAAATAGTTCTCAAAAATTTAGAAAACAGAAAACTGTTTTTAAATAATAATCTTTTATAGTTCTCTGAAAATAAGCATTTTTATAATTAAGTTTTCAGTAAATAACTTTCTAAAAATTGAACCAATTAAAAATTTTTGTACTGTTTTCTGTTTTCAGTTTTCTCAAAAAACTGTTTTCATAAAAACAAATCTAGCATGTCCTAATATTTTTTGAAAAATAGTAGTCAGTGAATATTACATAGTAAGTACTCGGGATATTTATTATTTATTTTTTCATTTATTCATATTGAAAAAAGAAATGTGATGTATACTGCTGAGTCCAAAATGAGCATAAAAACAATGAAAATGAGGATACAGCTTCAAACATGAGAGATATTGTATTATCTTACAAAAAATAAGGAGAGAGAGGTTGCATCTATGTATATATATATATATATATAGTATATTGAATAATAGTGAGAGAGGATATGTACGTAATGTCATGTGTTTGCCCTGGAAACCCGCCAAAATGTTCCATGGCTGGCAGGATTGACATGAAATGTACCTGATCTTGGTGGGTGTTTATATCATCAACTGGTCAGAAATGTGGAGAACCACAACTATTGATGAATGGTCCCAATAGGGTATCTTTTCGTCCCAAATGGGATAAATTTTAAATATTTCTTTTTTTAATTAAATAAATAAAAAATAAAATTTGGATAATATAACTTATAATATATCTATTACAGCCTTACAGGTGTAGTAAGAGTATGGGCAAAGTGTTGCTTATTATCCAAATGTCTTAAATTATAAATAAAATTATTAATTAAATACTTGAACCATAACTTTGGCTTGTGATATTCTCTTAATTTGTACATTTTTTTTATTATTATTTTAAACTTTCATTGGTCCTTTGACCAATTCAATGTTTTGTAAGATTATGCTAATTGACCATAAATAGAGTGACAATTAATTGATTTTTCCTTATATACAATTGGGTCAACTTGTCGTTCTATCCAATAGTGTTTTATAATTTTTATTTTATTTTAATTATTTTATTTTATTTATTTTTGTGTGAGAGTAAAGAATAGTGTTTAATAGTTGCAGACATCTAATTGAATAATTTTTAGTAACTACACTACAAGAACATGATCACGTTACGGAATGCAATTAGATGATGTTAGGACCCACAAATGACAAAGGCATGTAGGGAAGAAGAAAATTTTAAGAATGTCATAAATTTTACATTATTGTTGTAACATGGTTCCGTTATTGACTATTTAGACTATATATATATATAATTATATGTTTATAGTGATAGTACTACAAATAGGAAGTTCATTAGAATGTTTCCTGAATTTTGATTGTAATCTTGTCTGGAGCTTCTTCCTTTGTTTATTACTAGAAACTTTTTTGTTCCTAAAACTTTAATTTGTTAATTACCGAAAAAAAAAAACTTTAATTTGTTACTGTAATTTTTTTTTTTTTTTTTTGCATCATTCAAACTAAATCAAGTTTCTTAACTGTTGAGACGAATTTGAACCAAACTGCCAGACTTTGCACTTATATAGAACAAACCATGTTCTCATCTCTGCACTACACTGATAACAACTTTATTGGGAACGGTGAAAAAAGAAAAATTATTCATTATGGTTTATTGGATGGTTACAAATATTTCACCAAAAAAACATATATTAACTTTTTAGTTCTGTATGGTGAAAAAAGAAAAATTATTTATTATAATCATTAATGTAGTTTATTAGATAGTTACAAATACTTCACCAAAATACATATATTAATTTTTTAGTTCTATAGTAAGTCCCTTTGTAGAAGAATTGAAATTGCCTACCTTGATTTTTTTATTTTTTATTTTTTATTTATTTTTTTTTTTTTCAGGAAGGAAGGAAAGTGTTTTATTTAATTGTTTTCCTTCTCCATCTTCTCTGCCTTCAATTTTTATTTTAATTTTTAATTTTTATTATTATTATTATTTTTCAAATGTTTCATCTTTATCAAATTTATATATATAGATATTCAATATATTTTTTTTATTGTCTTCAAAAATTCTGGTTTTCCTTTATTCAATTAACCTCTTATTTTTCTCCCTTCAAAGTTCTCTCTTATTATTATTTTTTTCTTCTTTGTTTTTCTTTTTTCTTCACTTGTTTTTGTTAGTGTAGTTGAATTATAAATACCATTTTTAAAAATAATTAGAACATTTTTTTAGGAAACATTGTGCAACAAATTAGTTACCAAACATTTTTCTTTTGTTTTGGAATAAATCACACCCAAAAAAAAAATAAAAATAAAATGTTATTGTTTCTGCTTCGCATGAAATTGAAAATGCAAAATAGAACTTCTTTTGAAAAAGAACTCGTTGT